ACAAAGAAAGTAAAAGACAGTCAATTTCAGTCAGTGGTGCCAAGACACGGTGCCACACTGCCACCTGTAGACGAAAGCTTAGAGCTTCAGAAGGGTCCTCCAGTGGTTTTTATTCTAGGCTTATTATTATAGACTGGATTCACATAGGTATCACATACATGCTGTTTGGGAGCAAGTGACAAGAAACAAATTGGTTTTTCATTAAACCGCAGAGAATCGGGCAGTGACCAGATACAGTGCTTTCTTCATATGCATCACTGTGCTTATTTACTTTTTGATACCAACTTATCAATGGTCAGCAACTACATAACACAAGCTGTCCTGTCATCATCAGAATCATCATTTTTGTCATATACTCTGTATTTTGAGCACTTGTCTGATAGTAGTTTATGCCATATTTATAGCTATGCGGCTCAAAACATTTTACAACGTATTTAATAGACTTATCTTCCACTGCACTCATCATTGTGATGTTGGTAGTAACTTATGTCGGGGCTAAGTAATGTGCCTTAGAGTGTTTGTGTTTAGCTCAGATGAACACATCAGGGATATACCTCTGTTTTGAAGAAAAAATTAATATTGATCTTCTGATCTTACTCCCTAAGACAGAAAATAAGTGCATTTCCTAAAATTGAGTATTCCTTTAAAAAAAAAAAGGTGTTTTTATCCTTGGGAAGCATCACATTGCAGACTTTTCTGTGTAAATGTGCACGCATCAGAGCAGCCCGCACCACAGAACATCCTTCAGATGATCCCTTCCATCCCAGCATCAAACTAAACAAATCAGCAGATCGGCGCGTCTCCTCCCGTTCCCTCCCTCCTAAGGCCACAGTTGCCATGGCAGCAACACGTCTGTCACTCCGGCAGCAGAGAGAGAATCACACAAATAAAACAACACACAGCAAATGAAGGCTTGAACTTTTCCACCTCTCTGAGGAAGACTATGATTTATCTAAGGTGGGACAGAATTCCTGGCATGTGGAATTAAGCTGTGATGACGGCATGAGAAACGATGCAGCATGTGTTAGTGTATTTCACACCACTGTAGGCATTTTGCATAAATTTACAAGAGTGTCTCTTTAAGATGTTTTTAACATAGGATTTTTAAAAAGGACAACTATATGCAAGTGCAATTTAAGTACTGAGTGCACATGTCGGCCAGATCACATATGAAAAGTGGTTTGCTTTAATGGTTTGCAGGTAAGACAGCATGCTGTGATCCTCTGCTATAGCAGAAGACAGTGGGGGGGGGAAACTAGCAGAATGTTTAGTCTAGCAATGGACATTTATTTATTCAATAAAACTGTACCGGTATTATTAATAATAATGGCAGCATTATTCTGCATTCTCACAACACTAAGAACCTCCTGTTCTTCCAACTTGGGCTATTTATACAATATGTTATATGATATATTGCTAGCCTAAAGTCTACCCTGATAAATTGTCTAAATTTGCTATTTTTGCAATGCTACGTTCTTGGAGTAGTTTGTTAACACTTTAAACAAAAATAAACAGTGTAAAGTTTCTTTTAGATAAGCTGAATTCAGTGTAATAGAACTGACAGTTTATTTTAAAAGGCAGCTGCTAGGGATGGTGGCTTTGCATTACAATTACACTGATTACAACTAGGTGACTGAACTTTGAACAACATAACCATTAATGTTAGCAGTGAAAATAAAGTATTTAGCATTGAGCAATGTTTCGCCTTCAATTACTGCAAACACAAAATCAAAGTCCAGAACACCTAACCCAACATCCAAACTGCAATTACAACCCAACTAATGCTATATGCAGATCTTCCGCTCTGCATTTCTCTCCTCTGGGACACAAAAAAACTGGTTAAAAACCTTTGGACTATAGCAGAGCTTGAGAACTGATGGATTTATAATAAACTCCTCCCTTCCTGGGAAGTTACAGCCAGGGTACACTTCAAAATATCCCTTTCAATTCTCTTTCGTCAGCCTTTCCCTACCTTCCCCTCACATGCTCTAAGGCTAATCTTTTATCTGACAGCAGATCCACTTGTGTGTGTTGGGGTAGAGGGGTGATTGAGGGTTTCAGCAATGAAAATAAAGAGAAAAAGAACGATGGAAGGACAAAGGCAGAGAGAAAGTGACAGACTGCTAAGGCTGAGCTCTTTTACACATTTGCCTGTGTGTGTGTGTGTGTGTGTGTTGGTGTGTGTGGTGGTGTGTGTGTGTGGTGTGTGTTGTTGGTGTGTGTGTGTAGCAAATAGTAGCTTGTATGGTTGGGTCTGTACTTTGCATGGAGCAGATGTGTGGGGAAAGCATGACTCTATTTCACCAAACCTCACTATGAGGGTGGGGAGAAGTAAGAGTGTCGTGCGTTGTTTTATGTGTTTTTAAGGGGCATTGCTCTGTTTAACAGCCTGTAATTTACCCCACACACAAAGGGTAAAAGTAAAAATGAGTCAATTTTCCGCAATTGAAAAGTGGAAACTTTGAGCACATAGAGTGAGGATAGAGAGAGAGAAACAAAGACCAAGCAAGGAGAATAAACGAAGCGAGGGAAATCGTAAAAAAGAAAAAGCATGTTAATAAGAAGAAAGGAATGGTGTGCTCCATCCCAGTCTAAGAGTGAATTATCTTACAAATACAGGAAGAGGGTACGGCAAGTTAAGTTTGAAGTATTAAAAGACGAAAAAGCAGAGTTTAGAAGCAAGTTAATATGCATTAATGGGTGGAAAACTCAGACCAGCGATGCAGATGTCAGCAATAAAAGCCAAACAGCAGCGATAAATATTCTAAATAGATGCAATTAATAACAGCAAAATAGTACACCATTTTTTTGAATATCAATTACTTACTAAATTTGAACCTTTTTTGATTGGTTTTTCCTCTCAAAAAGCAAAAACTATTACCAGTGTATCCTAAGAAAAACACACCCACTGCGTGTCAACACAGACATTCAAGACATCCGTACATCATGTTTTCTGTGTAAGAACAAACACTGACGGCATTCTTTAAAACAACATTACTACAGCTTGATGCTTCAGAAGAGCCGTTGTCCTGATTACCCAGCCGATAACACAACTATAAGCTACAAAACTATGCATATTGCTGCACATCTTGACTGACTACTCATTCGTCTGTATGTGCTCACATGTGGGAGTTGTTTGGTGAAGGAATTAGATTAGACTGCCTCTAGTAAGTAACTCAGTTTAATATTGCCCCAAAATCTCAAATCGCCTCGAAGGTAGACGAAAGCCTTTGAAAAGGTTAATTTATCAGCTTTCACAAGAAACCTCTACAAAAGAAAAAAAGACATTGAAAATGTCGGAAAAGTTTTCCCTAACTATTTCTATATGTATACATCTTCTTAAACAGTTCACTGCAAACAACATGTTCTATGTAAAGTTCCATGAGCAAGATATAACCTACCTACTACCAAATTAGCACTGCACAGCTTAAACATTTGCCCTGATTAGGGATCCGATACAAAGCAGTGACATCCAGATGAACGGAATTAATTGGCGCGACCCGTGTATGGTCTCTGTAAGCATGTTACTGCCACCGCTGGACTGACCATTGAATCCAGACTGAAAATCACAGCTTGTGATAAATGTAATTTTTATGCCACAACACAACACACACACACAGGTAATGATACTTTACCACTCTCAGTGAGAGCTGTGAAACGAGACAGGATAGTATTTTTAATGAATCACACACAGCAAGGGGGGGAACTGTTAAGGCCACACACACATCTAACCACTCACAGAGGACAAAGTGGTGGGGAAGCATACTGTGACAAAAGAACATGGAGTGGACGAGATGCAAATGGGAAAACACCAACACACCAACACACAACCTACACACACACACACACACACACCACACAACACACACACACAACACACAACACACCAACACACCATCACACACACACACACACACACACACAGGATTTAATACTATTCTGAAAAAACTGTATTCCTGCTCTGAGACTGGAGTTGTTCTCTCACCTTGCAGTGCCGATGGGAGGAAAGCAACATGAGGGTAAAGAAAGAAAACACCAAACAGACACACACACACACACACGATGAAAATCAAGGGACAGAAAGGAAAAAGAAAAAGTATTTTTCCGCAGGTACCAGGGACCTCCGGGGGTGACTGACACAAACAGAAGGAAATGTAATAATAATGCACAGCAAGTAAGCACAATTACTGCTCAAATCACTACCAATACATTGGGAGCTACTATAAAAGGTTTTGGCAAATTTCACACCACCTGTGAAATCAGGTCTTATTGTATTGTTTCTTTTGTTCAACATTCCTCAGAGATTTACTGTAAAACTTGCAATTCTTGACAGGAAAACAAAAGAGAAAAACATTTGCAAACAATCCTTAAACAGCTGTAACTAGTACAGACTAACACATTTTAATTCTACCCTTATTCATCAAGTTTTTGTCCTAATATCTAAACCTCAAAACACAAATCCCAA